GTAATCTTTGGTAAACACCTGCAGCCTTCAAAGTAGTTTCAAAGACTACGGTAAAAATGCGTTGTGTCCACTCTGGGTTAACTGAAAAGATATTCGATATGATCCACCACACTTGGAACAAGCCTTAGATGGTGGCAGTGGTTTGTTAAGGTTGATGAACAGATTAACAAAATACCTGGAGAGATTGTGGATTCTTAATCTTTCAAAGATCGCAAGGCTGGTTGCCCTACAGGAAGGTGTTTGGTAGACTGCAGATTGTTAGACTGAAAGAGGAGTAACCGGGTGAAATTTTCCAACTCACTTGAACATCTTCATATTCTCTTTCCTTGATTTCACAGAAGGATGCAGCTGTGCCTTATTATTACTTAAAGATACTGTTTGTTGGCTCTATGATTATTGTAGTCACTGTGCTACAGGCAGATCTAATTAACGGTGCAGCTTGGAAGGTGCTCAGGGGTTGGCACGTGCACCTCGCAGTGCAAAGCGTGGGACACAATCGGTGACTGTTGGCTCTCTGGTGAAACGCCACGTTTCTGCGTGAGGCTTTACCCTGGTCTGCACACACATAACAGCACTGTTTTGCTGGGGTTAGAGAAAATTAAATGCGTGAGTGTAGGCCACAAGGATTTTGCTGGTCTGGGTGGTTTATGCAGGCTGGAGTTAATGATTTGAGTGTAAGTGGCTCCTGTCCGCCTGACTTTGACCCGTGTTTGGCTCCGTGTGCTAATGTTCACAGACTTGCTTTCCAGACTGTCCTGTAGCGTGTGGAAAGTCTGAGCAATGATCAGTGTGGTGGAAGGAAGACCTCCAAAGCCTTTGAGAAGTTAGAGGCTGGATCTAGCCATGTTTGGGTTCCAGTACTTTTACACCACACACCCAAAATATGTCTGTCGGACGTGTAAAGGGAACTACGGGAGGAAGAACACGGAACTGATGTATTTCTGCCTCCTTTTCCCTGTTAGTTCTGTGTTGTTCTTATAAAGCTGGCAAATACCACCCTTCATTTATGTTTTCTTGCACTTCAACTTCCTGAAAGCTCCTAGCGATGATGCCTGGATTTAGTGCTTTGTAGTTCAGGCTCAGCGACCGCTGCGCATAAATTTAAGCAACTCTCTCTGGATGGTAACTGGAAACCTATTTATTGCCATGGAAACTTGGTCTTTACTATAAAATTTTCCATTTTGCTTGTAGGCATATGTTTGGTATCTACTGGCTGTGAGTTTCTTTTTTTCTCATTGCTTGTCAAATGCAGGGCAGTTGATTGTACTTTCAGCTCCTTAGTGGACTGGAAACAGCGAGTTTCATTCCAGAGCAATAACATTATGTAACTGTAAATGCTTTAAAACTTAATTGCCTGTTTAGGATTGAATAGCATTAATGATAGAGCCTAGATAGCTCAATCCAAGAAGTGAGCTTGAAGAAGGCTATACTAAAAAAAAAAAAAAGAGGATTGGAATGATAAAAAGTTTTGCAGGTTTAGTAACTGACTGGCAGCAAGAGTCAATTGGGTGTTTGATTGCAGTGTTACGGTTCTCACTAGTGGGGGAAAAAAAAAAGTTATGGGTTTTGAGTCAAGGAAAACACACGCTTCTGAGAGTTGACCAAAAGTGATATTAAAAGTTTTGAGATATCTAGTGTCACTAGTTGGAATGTGAGGTTTGTTTGGTTTTTTTTTAACAGTAAAGAAATCTGCACCTGTGTTTTGGTAATGGACTTGTGAGTTATGAAACATCTAAGTAGAAACAGGAAAGGAGGTTGATACGTTGTAGCTTATAATTAATGTATTCTCAATATTGGGGTTCACTGTTAGTTAGAAGATACTACTTTAAGACTATTTAATCATATTTTCATTGAAGAATTTAAAATATACTTTTATATCTTTACATCCTTTCAATAAGCTTTCTGGCCGTATTGCTTCCTGTAATCTGTGATTCCTTATGCGCTCGAGGGGTGTTACAGTTTATTGTTGAATAAAGTTTTTTTTTGCTTGAGCAAATTTACGGTACTTCATTTGTAGATCACCTCCTAATACACAGTTTATGGTCACAGACTTACAGGGATTACCTCTGTTTCTTTCAAGTTGATCTCTAAATTAAATACTGTCTTTCACGTCAGGTGTAGCACTGACTGTTTTGTGATGCACTATCTGCGGCACCTGTAAATTACCTTTGTAATAAACATGAAGAGAATCTGCTTTATGAAAGCTGTAATGCTGCTAGACTGAGATCTTGCAAGCAACCGAGGGGCTGTTAGCTCGGATATCAAAATATCTGGGCTTGGCAGCTGGACACCAGCTGATCCAACTTCTGAAAGGTTGGTTATGTTGGTACCTCTGAAATACTAAAGGCTGAAGACTGGTTCTGAAGGTTGACCTAGAAGAAATGCTGTTGCTTTAAGAGAAAATCACGGAGTTTGGGGATGACAAACATCCCAGAAAATCTGTTGCTGCACAACAACAAGCTTTAGCTTTTTGTCGAGAGTATCTATTTCTGGCTGCAAGAGCGT